ATTGAGCATAACACCTAAAATCGAGTCGGGCTTTTTTTTGTGATGTCGTGATCAAATGAAATATGAGAAACGGGGAGAGAATCACGGCCAACACAATAATCCAGTGAGGGCATTTTCTAAAAACACATTGGTACTGTGTCGATTCACCTGCAGGTCACTGAAGTCCCAGAGGTGCTCAGAGTCTCCCCACTGCCCCGCGGCTGTGCTAGCAGGGCAACTCCCTGTTCCCCGAGTGAACAGCAGAGGGCGCTGTCGAGCATCCTAGAAAACAAACGCTCTGAGCAGGAGACGACCTACCAGGTGAGTCAAGGCCTGTCCTCTTTTAGTGTCTGAAGTGCACGGGGCTATCGCTACAGAGGAGGCCTGCTTATCGAAAAGACGAACCTTAGCCTTCATCACTTCAGCCCCATGTTAGACTAGTTCCTAAACATTACCACTACCCAGAGCTCCTCACAGCGGATTCCAGGAGAGGTGTCGGATACTATGTCCACATTACACAGCTCTGCGCAACGCCTTGCAGATTGCGGATAATGCCCAGTTTCATAGCACACGATAAGACACATCTCGCACTTGTCCTCTTGAGAGCAAGACTATTGCATCTCAATGTACCAAATTGAAAACCTGAATAAAGGGACAGGATCCACAGTTCATGCTAAATTACCCTACCCAAACAAACACCCCTCCCCCAAGTCTATAACTGCAAAAAATCTAGTGCAACAGGATTAATGTGAGCATGGTACCCACACCACTTAATCTGAGGCCAACCCTGTAGGAACACTGCATTACGAATTTACAGTTACAAACAGCTGGGGACCATACTAATCTAATCATTACTTACACATATATAGCGCTTTTCTTGAAACTCCACTTTGCAGGTAATGACGACTCTCCTCCATCACCACCAGTGTGCAGCCCCACCTCGATGATGTGACAGCAGCCATAGTGCGCCAGTACACTCACCACACTCCAGCTCTCAGTGGGGAGGAGAACAGAGTGATGAAGCCAGTTCAGAGATGGGGATTATTAGGAGGCCATGATTGGTAAAGGCCAGGGGGAAATTTGTCCAGGACACTGGGGTAACACCCCTACTCTTTTTGAGAAACCCTGTGATTTGTAATGACCACTCAGAGTCAGGATCTCAGTTTTATGTCTCATCCCACTATACTGGGGCATTAGGACCCACACAGACTACAGGGTGACCGTCCCCTACCGGCCTCACTAACACCTCTTCCAGCAGCAATCTAAGCTTTCCCAGGAGGTCTCCCATCCAGGTACTGTCCACACCTGGGCTGCCAGCTGTGAGCTGCAGGGTGATATGGCTGCTCTAGTAGTTAGTAGCTAATTGATCCAAGGATCTCATCCAGCCAATTCTTGAAAGAAACCAGGATATCGACTTGAACCGATAAGGGGGTTTGGGATGGTAGAGTCAACTGGCAATTTATCGTTAACCCTACAGCACCAGTAGGGCACCCGTAAGAAACAATTTAACAGAGCGGTCTTTTGACAGGGCACAGGCGCCTGGAGGAGAGACACACCCCCTTGCCAAGAGGTGCCAGAGAGGTCATAGGCCACTTTTGTGGGGAGCCCTGGGAGAAAACCCATTCTACGAACCACAGCAGCCGCCAATCAAGCGCCTCCACCAGGGGAACCTCAGGCCCAGTCATCCGATGGCATGACTTGGGTTCGAACCAACCATGCCTGGATCACAGAGCTCAAACTGTGCCTAGCAGGGGCATCTTTACCAGCTGGGGGTCTCCGAAGAGCCCTCATTGCACCAGGCTTGTTTACTGTTACTGTTACCCAGCATCACAGTCCAAGTGCAGCAGCCCCATAGGAATCCTGAACTAAACTAGGTTTGACCTGCATTTGAGCATTGAGCAGCTACTGAAATACACTCATGTGAAAAACAAAGTACACCCTCTTTCAATTCTATGGTTTTATATATCAGGACATAACCAAAAATCATCTGGTCCTTACCAGGTCCTAAAATAAGCTAAATCTAACCTCAGGTGACAACACATAACAGATTCCACTATGTCATTATTTATTTAACAATAAATAAGTCAACGTGCAGAAGCCATATGTGAGAAACGAAGTATGATTCAGTAGCTTGTAGAACCACCTTTAGCAGCAATAACTTGAAGTAATTGTTTTCTGTATGAGTTTATCAGTCTCTCACCATTTTGGGGGAAGTTTGACCCCCTCTTCTTTACAACATTGCTGCAGTTCATTGATGTTTGAGCGCTTTCGTTTATGCACAGCTCTCGCCACAGCATCTCAATGGGGTTGAGGTCTAGACTTTGACTTTGCCACTCCCAACACCTTGATTCTTTTCTTTTTTAAGCCCTTCAGTTGTAGATTTGCCGGTGTGCTTGGGATCATTGTCCTGGTGCATGACCCAATTTTGGCCAAGCTTTAGCTGTCAGACAGATGGCCTCTCATTTGTCTCTAGAGTACTCTGGTATAAAGAGGAGTTCATGGTCGACTCGATGACTGGAAGGTGCCCAGGTGCTGTGGCTGCAAAACAAGCCCAAATCTTCATCCCTGCACCACTGTGCTTGACGGTTGGTATGAGGCGTTTGTGGTGATAGGCTGTGTTTGTTTTTCACCAAACATTTTCTCCACTTTGGTCTCGTCTATCTAAAGGACATTGTTCCAGAAATCTTGTGGTTTGTTCAGATGCAACTTTTGCAAACCTAAGCTGTGCTGCCTTGTTCTTTTTGGAAAGAAGGGGCTTTCTCCTGGCTGCCCTTCCATGAAAGCCATACCTGTTCAGTCTTTTTCTGATCGAACCGTCACAAACTTTAACATTTAACATGTTAACCAAGGCCTGTAGATCCCTAGATGTAGCTCTTGGGTTCCTTGCTATTTCTCTGAGCATTATACGGTCTGAACTTGGGTTGACGTTGCTGGGACGCCCACTCCTGGGAAGACTGGGAACTCATCTTGACTGTTCTCCATTTGTAAATAATCCTTCTTACTGCAGAATGATAGATTTCAAGTTGTTTGGAAATGGCCTTGTAACCCTTCCCAGATTGATGAGCAGCAACAATCGCTTCTCCGAGTTCATTGCTGAGGTCTTTCCTCCTTGGCATGGTGTCGACACACACCTGAATGCTCCAGACTAACAACCTGGAAAAAGTTCTGCTTTTATAGAGGTGGTCACACTTCCTGATGACCAACTAATCAAGTGCATGTGATTAGCAGCACCTGGCTGCTAATTACCTTCGTAATTCCTATGGAAGCAGTAAGGGCGTACTTAATTTTTCCCATATGGTTTCTGCATTTTGGCTTACTTTTTGTTGAATAAATAAAGACATTGTGAAATCTGTTGTGTTGTTATCTGAGGCTAGATTTGTCTAATTATAGAAGTTGGTGAGGACCAGATTATTATTTATGCCCTGATATGTAAAACCATTGAACTGAAAGAGGGTGTACTTTCTTTTTCACATGGCTGTATGTGCATCTGTTGCATGAGGGCATGCAAAGACTGATGATTTCTCCCTTTCCAAAGCAAAGAGAAGTATTTTGCAGAGAGTGTTTTTAATAATGCATGTGAATGAAATCACACCGTTGCCAAAACATTTTGGAACTTGCGCTGCAACCCCGCCCCAGGGATCCAGGTGAACCGGTGGAGAAACAGGAAACCAACATCTCTCGCTCTGTCGCATCCAGCTACAATAAGGATTCTTCAAGATGAGGGCAGATCATCTGCTTCTCCTGAACCCTGCAGTAAACTCGGCACTGTAGTCATTATACGCCTATAACCCTTTATGCATCAATATGGCATCAGCCAATATCAAGGTCACAGGGGGATCTTCTGCGTTACGTGTTCTCCAAATCTGACAATCTATAATTACACCTAAGCATGGTCAATAATGCCTGAAGCACCTCAGACAGACTACATTGCGAGAGCAGACTGGGGGCACGACCTCAGTGTCACCCTCCTTGAGACAAGTGGAGACGTCAAGTATCGCAGGTGTGGGAAGGCCTCGTCGATCAAGGACACAAGGCCTTGTGACTCAGGACACAGCTCGGCTCCAGGGCATGGGCTCTCTGAGTTTTGGCCTGCAGTCAGTCTTGGGAACGCTCGCTGGGAGAGACGCCCGTTTGTCAAAGGGGAGCCAAAGAGACCCCTCCCCCTGCCCCGTGCACACTCCAACAGCTGCCCAGGAAGACGAACAGGCCACCAACATCACCCAGATCAACAAATTCAATTTGCGCACTGGTTCAGGACCAAAAACAAAGGCCTCTGATAGGCCTATGCTCTTGAGTACCGGACTGTAACACATGGTTATTTGTAATGCACGGGGCCCATATGCACAACAGGAAAGAGTCGAGACACTGATGCAAGTAAATAATGACAACTGTGATCGCTTCACGTTGACACCTAAGTCAAGTCCACTTCCGGCTACTTGTGCTGCTGGAGCCACGGCCATAATCACACAGCCGAACTGTGCAGAATAACAAGCAAGATGAATGAGAGGAACTAGGCCAGACCTGGAGTGAAATCCAGGAGTCCCATCGGGTTTCGTTTTTGAAAGAATTCCGACTGGGGAATGAGCTGAACCCGGCTCCAGCATGTGATGAGTCCGATCACGGAAAGTGACGAATCCAAAGCAAGAACAAGATGAATCTGATGCCGGAACTCAATGATTCCAGTACGCAATGAGGCAGCGATAAAACACACCACAAAGAATCTGTACAAAGAAACAGCACAGATTTCTTTCTGTACAGTTTTTAAAATTTTATTTATAACAATATCTGTTATTTAGTTGTAAAGTACTCCAGCAAAAAATTATTAAAACATTATTCTCTTTCCAAAAGAAGGTCTGAGCCACCATGCATTTCTACTATAAAAGCTATTTTTTGTATTTTTTATTTAAAAAATAAAAAACAAACAAAAAAAATCTAACAAAAAAATGCATGTAGGAGAAAAGTGTTTTTTAAAAAAGTAAAATGATTGTACTCCTTAATTTTTTTTTTCTCGATTAAAAAAATAAACGAAAATCACGCTGTATGAATACTGTTACATAGTGTTCGGGTAAGCAATAAGGATTTGTTATTCTAGTTCTTGTTTTAGTTCACATGCATTGCGATATGGCTGGTCACCTCCCACAAAAGCAGCGTCTCAGCGTGACTATAGGAAGAGCTGAGCTCGAGAATGTACTGGACACAAGGCAGTATTAGCAGCAACGCGAAGAAGACGAAAACAGAATAAAAAGGGAAAAAAAGAACAATCAGACACAAACATAACCTCTCTTAGGAACGCACTTAAAATAAGCCTGGACAAGAAAAAAAACCCCAACAACATTTAAGCGGAAGATTAAAAGTGACAAAGGAAAATAATGTAATTTCTACATAAAGTCACATCTATACGCTATCCAGCCCTTACAGAAAATAAAAAAAAAAACTACCTTGATACTTATCTCTTTCATTCCAGTGAATCGAGACACTGGATTCTCGAAAGTACCTCACTTTAGGACGCCATGCAGAGAGTTTGTCTGTGTCCAATCTCTGAGTTCCCGCAAAGGCGCCGAGATCGTTCCCAAGTCTTCCCACTTGGAAGCATAACAGACCTGGAATGTTTATTTATTTTTTGTGTTTCACTCACAACTCCTATGTCTCTGGAGCCCTAAGATTTTTGAAAGGCAAAAACAAAAATACTTTTCCTGCATATATATTTTTTCTTTACTGTGTGTGTGTGTGTGTTCATGTGGGTTTTTTTCAAAAGACACTTAATAGATATTTATATATATACGTTTATATATATAAATTTCATCTGTGCAAGGAGTAAAACAATCACTCTATTACGTTGTTTTCTGAGAAAATAAAATATAAAATTAATTAAAATACTGTGGAAGCCACCACTGCTGACTCCTGTACAAATGCCCGCTTGCCCTGCACACATTTTCACTGTTTCTTTCAAATCTAACCCCCAGTTTAACTCTCGATACAGTTCACCGTAGAAAAACAAAATCAGTGAATCCAACCCAGACCTAAGCTACAACATTGACATCTGACCCTTCACCTTTGCACTCACCCTCCCCTTTCACCTCACATTGACAAGACAATGGCATTATGGAAATAGAACGATGGTTTCTATACATTAATACAAAAATAAAAAATAAAAATTGCTCTGTCATCATCATCTCATTTTTGTTTGCACAGAGGTAGTGGCTATTTGGGTAAAGGGGCTAAAAAAAGAAAAACAGAAATTCTTATAGAAAAATGTTTTGACCAGAAGAATTAAAAGAACAAAATATAATACTGCAATCACATACAAAAGTAGTCCTTCATTTTTGTACATTTTATACAGTGTTCTCTCTTTTTTTGTTGCTTTTCTTGTTTTTTTTTAAAGGAAAAAAAAATGAATCTAAAATGGTGTAATGGCGCTCTGGTGTCTGTAGGGGGCAGGCACGAGTCTACGCCAGGGGGTCCCCGAGGTCCTCCTCCCCGCGAGACAGCAGCTCCTTCTTCTCGTCCGTGCTGGCCAGCGAGTTCCGGCTGCTGTGCGCCCCCATGTACAGCGTGGCGTATACGGGGTTGGTGAAGTTCGTCGGCTGTGGAAGTCAAGGACAGCGGCGCGGTGAGGCCCCGCCCTGGACTCGCTCGCGATTAACACAGAGAGCCAGATCGAAGCTACCCGCCGAGGTGCAGGAAGCACACCAGCAATACAGCGATCGTGAGCTCCAGCACTTGTTCTGCCAGGAATGATGCTAAGCTCAAGAAATAGTTTCTTAAAACTATACCCGTTTAATAATTACAGCTCTACGGACGGTACGTATAGAATTACCACCAGCTGCACTGGCACCTCTTGTCTGGAGTCTGAGGGTGAATTGCCATTCAGTGATCTTAGGATACCAATTGCTCAATTGCTTCTGCAATTCTTTTGGACTGAGCTGACCGTGGCTTGTCTATGATTTTAACACAATTCCATAATGTTTGAGTTTTCTACAGTCTGCATGTTGCACTGCCCAACAGATGCCCTGTTCTCTAAAGGAAGGCCAGGTGCCCTGTAGGAGTGTGTCACCTTGTCAGGGTCCAGTGTGAAGTCGGAGTCCAGGAGCTCCCCCGCGTCATCGTCAGGCTCTCCCTCGTAGATCTTGTAGGCAGGATTTCCGATCTCCACATTCATGGCCCCGTTGGTCATCCTCTGGTGCGTGAAGCCCTTGGCACTGAAACACAGACACAGCCCCAC